TGAGCAAAGAACAAGGCTTACTCCTTGGCCTCCGTCCTGCACTGCTTCATCTGCAAGAGCTGTCACAGTGCCAAAGTGCCACAAGTGGCTCTTACATATACATTTCGGGGATCCTGAATCCACTGGTTTGAGCTGTCTGCCTGGTCCACATGTCCAAAATGGCTAAAATAGTAATTTGTCACTCCTTGGAGTTGCTGCGCACCTCCTCATCCAAGGTGAACAAATGCACTGTTGATTACTGGAGGGATATGCCACTTCACTGAACATTTATTTCACTAGTTTTCTTTATTCCAGGAACCACAGGAAGTCTAGTCCTGGTACTTTATGCAAGTGATAATAATCAAGCAGGGAGATATAGAGCATTTCTTGTTTCCCTGCCACCCAAAATCTTCAGAGCAACAAAAACCCTTCATATTTTGTAGTAAACACAGGCCACCAGCTATGAACTATAATTTAATCTAACAAAGTGATTTTGGGAGCATATGAAATGTGAAGGAATAGCAGACAGGTGGGCTGCTCTGCTCTATGTGTATACTATGTGTATAATATCCAGATCTCAAATGCCAGCTTTCCATTCACTGCTGCAAAACACCCAGGCCGTCATGCGGTAAAAAAAACAAACCATGGGAGGCATGCAACACGTTGCAGCACTTGTTTCACCTACAACACACTATCACAAATATGGCTGTGGAAGTTGACCGGGAATCTCTATCAACGTGATCCCAAATAATACGCTTCAGGTCTGTGATTTGGAGAATAAGTTTAAGGGAAGTAAAATGCTTTTCATTCATTTTTCACTCCTTTACTATAATTTACTCCAAATCTAAGGTAGCTGCAAAAAACAGATCACTTTTGAACTTTGTATCAATGGGAAAGAAATTCAGAAATGTCAGCTTTCCTCTACCACTGACCCAGGACCTTTATCAGAACATAAAAAAACTAAACAACTTTAATTTTATGACTTAGAGCAGTTTTTTTTGTGAAGAGATATCAAGATCTGACGTCACTCTGACATTGATACAATGCTGCCACCAGTCTTCCAGCCGGGTTTCAGATGTCTGACAGTGTTATTCCACTACTGATAGACATCCAGTACACTATGACTCAATGAATGTTGAACATGGGTTTCAGTCTTCTTGTTAAGTCCATTGGACCAACCACATTTTTAGAAGAAATGCAAGAGATGGAGGATTTTTACATGAGGCATCTTGTCTTATTCTGAAGATTGAAGTCAAGCAAGCAGGAGTGCTGGAATTCAGGACTAAAACTATTCAGCTCTTTTGACTGCTTGATTTTCGCTTTGCATTCTTGGTTACAAGGGTTCTAAACATATTAAACAAATTCCAATTGTCAAATCACTGTTCTGCCTGCAATCCACAGTTATACCATTCATATGCCTGCATCATGTCCTCATCTTGCACTCGTTTTTTAACTTATATGTACATAATGTACTTCTATGCCCTCCTGATGTTAACTAGCAGCATTATAATAGCATTAAATTATTTGCATTGCATTAATTGTTCTGCTTTATTCCTCTTTTTTTGATGCTGATATTTTTTCCATCACTCGACATGAAGTGCACGAAAGTGCTGAGTAATGTAGGCATTCTTCTTTAAAATGCTTTTGCAGATGAGAAAGCTCATTAAATCATTATACTTACTCATGTCTAAGTAGAGTCATGCACATATCCTTGCAAGCTACAAACTGAAGTATATGATTTCCTGTATCATGATAAAGTAACACGGAAATCTAATAAATAAGAAGTAGGCTGTACTCTTATGCATTTTTACTGCCTTCCTTGAAATGAAACACTTCCCACACAAAGGAAAACTGGTTACACTTGCTTAAGAATAAACATTAGAAACATGTTTACATATTGAAAAATGCATTATTTTAGTGAGAAAGTCACTTAAAACAGAACTAGAGTGTGTGGATGCTAACTGTGAAACAGAGAGCACGGTGCCTATGGAAATTGCAGGCCGCATAGTTTCTCAGTCTTGCCTGAGAAAGTGGCCTGGGAAATCATAAGGAGGAATTAAAACAATCCTCAGAGACAGAAAACAGCCTTGCAGGTGCTGTTTGTCTGTTCCTTGTTTTCTTGCAAGGCAAGGTTGAGGGGTGGTGTACCCCACTGACCAATGATGGTGATGTGTTAGTTTACTAACCAATAAGAGTTTCTTTTCTGTACTTTTCACGTATCAGTCTATAAAAAAGCTCTAAAGCAATAAACCGAGAGAAATTCTCCTGATCGACTCCCTAGAGAGTCTGTGTCGTTCTTCTCGCCGTTCCTAATAGAGCGACAAGAGTGAGCAATACTCAACCAAAAAATTTGTCTGATGTGAAAGGCCTTAAAGTCCACCTACAAACTCAGCGCTACCCTTACTGTTTCTCCAAAAGGTATTGGTCTTTTCTGGACAGCACACATCCTCATGAGCCCACCAGCTACATGGACCCACCTACATGAAGCCACATCCTCATTTAGGAATGCTAGTCTGGCCTCAAACACTCTCAGTTTTCTGTTCTAAATACCACAGTTCACTGAGCTTGTCAGACCTACTGGTTACAGCTGGCTTGCAAATAACTATGGGTACTTGTACCACAGCTGTTCATGTAATAAAAGCAGGGGTATGAGAATGGAACCTTTTTGAATGCTTCAGTGTGTGTAGGAGAAATAGTGCTCCCAGTCATGATGATGGGATGCTCTGCTGCAGGAGGAAAGGGATGACTTCCCATTCCCTCATCTTTAAGCAGGGTCATGGGTACTGGCTGCCAGCAGGTGCTGGACATTGCTCCTCACAAATAAGCTTCACCCTGATCCAAGAGGAAATGAAAATTATATATTTTAATAATATATAATTTTTTTATATATATATTTTCCAGAATGTGTGTGTCAAGACTTTTTCACAGACATATTGATACTGCAGCTGCTCTGTGCTTTCACATATGATGCAGTGTGACACTAATGAATATGCAAGATCTATGGAACAGTGGTTTTACAGTTCTGTGGAATCAGCCTTAGGGCTGGTCTTGAAGAAATTTTCTATCCTCCTCGTGAAACAGCTTAGTCTGTCCCCTCTCATCTCTGTTGAGGGGGTTTGAGCTTTTTCACAGGGTTTCCCTGGATAGTCCATAGTGGACTTCCAAAAGGCCATTTATCCTCTGCAAACGTGAACAGATGAACAATCCCCCTGTAATACTCCCCCTTGATTCTCTCCTGGGAATGTGGAGTGAAAATGTAATGCACAGGCAGCAAGAAAAATACTTTCGGGATGAGTCCATTCTAGTTCACTCTTCAGGATAATGTGCTTGATATCTTTTCTCTTCTTCCCCCTTCTACAGCCCTTTACCTTCTTAGCCTATTTTGATGGGCTCTGGATATGTGCCATGTTGTCATGGATGTAAATTGTAATTAGACTACTGACTCAACCTCTGCCATCTAATCTCCACAGTTCAGATGTAATATTTTCTCATTTAAATTAAAATACTTTTTTAGTGTCTTTGGAATTCCTTTAGAAAGACAACAGGGAAGTTAAGTGTGTTAGTGAGGCTGTCACACAAATGTCACCTCAACTCAGGAGAAAGCAGCTAGCCCGTAGTTTGACAGATAAGTGCTCACAGAAGAAGACAGCTCTGTTACTTTCAAATATTTGATTTCATGGCTGCAGTAAAGGAAGCGAAAAAGCAAGCCATAGGAGCAAAAGATTTACATAGTCCTTCATCCTACACTTTGAACTAATTAAACAATGAAAAGTTTCACTGCCTTCAGTGGTGGTACTCATATAGCTGAAATTAGCCACTCTAATGTGTTTTGCTGGATGGATTCAAGGCTCTTAGCATCTTGCAACATTCAACACTAGATGAAATATGTATTTCAGTACATATTTCAGAAGCACAGTCCATGTATTCTTTCCATATACACTATTAATTTGTGAAGTAAAACATCAGATATCATATGAAATCTAAAAAAAAAATTTCTTGCCTTATGTTACCACAAACATAAAAGAACAATAAATATTGTCAGATCCATTTCAATTAACATTAATCACAGGACAAAGACCAGTAGCATGAGGTAACTCTTATATTCATGATCTGGATCTTCCACATAGTAATCATTTAGCATTGTCCAGGCTTAGGATAGGTCTGCTTGTCTATATCCTCAAAGAAACAGTCTCATTGACTTCTCCAAGAAATTCCACAAGAAACCTGCCATAAGGCAAATTAAGTTCACCAGATGCTAAGTTAATACCTCAATCCTTGGATTACTGGTCCTATTCCCTTTTCTCTGTTGTAGCCTCAGCTGATGTATTTCTAAAAGTTGAGTTCCCAAGTTTTAACAACTTTGGCCAGCTGAAAAAATTCTAAATTTACATACCCTAAACAGTAGAGGCAGCTCTGGAAATTGCCCCGTGAGGATTAAAAGCACTTTCCTTATGAGGTTTAGAGACCTTTGTTTGTAACAAAACAAGGAAAAACACAAAATGAGGACAAATGTCAACTCAGACTGCAACGGGAAACTGATAAAAGGAAATCAATCTAACACCCGAACCTTGCTTCTGAAAGCAATAGGTATTTGATCTGCTGGTGGCATCTGCTGTTGCATATCAAAAAGTCATTTGGACCAGTGAAGTGAGTGCAAAAGGATGCTCTCCCTCTTTGAACTCATTTTGGCTGTAGGAGGTATAAAGGAATGGAGAATCTCTTGTGTGTTGATCAAGTCATACACATGCATCTGAAGGGAGAACTTGGCCCTCTCTTTACCTACCTCATGAAAGAAGTCCATAAAAGTCCACTAAACACAAAGATAACACAATGACTCTATCTTGAAAAACATGGACATCTAGGAGACAAATGTTGGGCTTATTTGGCCCTATGTGTGACTGCCAGTCTTGCATGGGCAGCTGCCATCAGCTGCTGCCAGAGATGGGGACCTAAGCAAGGAAAGTCTCCAGCCTCCATTGTAGTGACTGTTCTTAGGCAAAGCTAAAGGAAGCTGTCCCTACCTGTGTATGTTTTCTTCCAGCTTTTTCACCTTCAGCTCATCCTCTTCTGACTGCTTCCTTCTGGCTTCTTCCTCTTCTGCAGAGCCAGCAGGAATTCCCTGTAGCAGCCATTTTTCCCGAAGAGCTTTTGACTGTAATGTAAAAAAATTCCATATCTTAGCTATAGACTGAACAAAAACTATATGAAGAATGAGAAGAAGCCGGCTTTGCTTCTGAATATTACCTTGTCCCCACTGAATTCCTGCTTACTGCTTCAGACAGTTGATAACAGCCAAACAATATCAGCTGTTTATTCAGATGTCAGGTCTTTCACATTGAGGAGTGTCAGTTTTACAGTATACAGTTTATTTACCATCAATGCCTTATATTATGCCTTAATAATGAAGTTATTTTTAGTTCCTAAGAAAACCAACAGTTTAAAATTAACAAATTAGCAAGTCCTGCAAGAACTGAAATTTTTGAACCAAAGTATGGATTTCTTGTGAATAATAAGGCATGCGCTGGAAGGACTAAAGTCATCAACTTTCTAAAGCTTCAAAAACAAAAGATCAGTGTGCTCTAAATGTAATGTTTTTCATGGAGTATAAAATCAGTCTCCTATTATATCAATCAAATATGTTTTTTATTTGTACCACAGATGTGTTTCAGGCAGACAGATAGACACGTGTACATAAACATGAGCACACACATCTTCTCTTGGGCAGACACAAATTAGAACAAATGAACACAAGTCGTCCAGAAATCGTGGAAGGGTTGCTAGGACACAACAACACTGATGCAAAAAGCATCCTTCACCCAATAGAATTATTCCTGGGAGTTTTGTTGTGCTTTCTACACTGAAAATGTGTCTACAACATCACCTGGTTCCTGTTTAACACAGCCACAGCTTATCCAGGGTACTTCACCAGCGGAGGTGGACTGGTTGAAAGCCATGCTTTACACAGCATACATGCCTATGTTCCTTGTCTGACCCAAATCTGACAGAGGAATGCAGCAGATAGGATGAGGAAGACCAGGAGCCCAAAGCTAAAAAGGACACTGCCCCTTGGCAAGAAGGAAATTGACCTGATGGAAAAAACGATCACCCAGGGGACCAACTAAACCTTCCCTTGCTTTGATCAGTAAAGGGGAGCCTTGGTTTTGAATTTGCAAAGTGATTGGCAGTGCTAGTTCTAGGAACCAGCTTCTCTTCTGCAAAGAGGAGTTAATCAGGAAATCATCAGTTCAAGGAAATTTGATTTCAGAGGCAGACCAAACATGCTGTATATGTCTTTTCAATGCCATGCTTGTTGCTGAATAGAACCTGACTTGTGCAAACTATGTGTAAAAGGAAAACGTTTACCACCAACAGCAAGCTTCAAACCTTACCCAAAATAGAAACATTTTTGACATGACAGACAAGGTCTTCTTGCTAGTTTTTGAGTGTGTGCATATATATATAGACCTAGTATCTATGCACAAACTATTTTTATCACTCTGTGACCTATTTGATGTCAGGCAATTAGATTTTAGTAAGGCAGCAGACACAAAGCAACACAAAACACACAGGCAAATTATTCAAGCTTTCACTGGTTTTAACTGTGCTGTGCATAAGAGGGTGTCTAGGTGGATTTCAAGTGATTACTGTGTTAATTAGGACTTCTGCATAACAGGAAAGGTCTCATGCTCTTGTCCCATGCAGTCACATTCAATAGCTGGACCTGCTTATGCTGAGGACATACTTTACCTCACTGAACTCAGCTTTGCTCATGGCCTCTAAGTTGCTCATTGCCAAAACAGTACAAGTGGCTATCTTCAGCCACAGTTTCTGCTGTTTGCTACTCCTTGTCCTGGAACTACCATCTATTAGTGCTTCCTGCTACATTTCATAAGCTGGTAGTGAAATTTTTGTGTTCAGCCAAGTTGATTACCGACCAGAGTGTTCCTCACCTCATTCAGACTCATCATGCTATAGAAATGTCTCCGCAGAAGAGGACTTTCAAATCATCCACATGTATGAAGGAACAAAGTGAGACAAAGATGGATTTACAGGTGTTGAGGGGCTAAACATTTAACAACCTGTGCTATGGCCTTTAAAGTCTCAATAGCAAGCTCAGTGGGCACCTGCTGGGTTAGATCCAGTGCAAAGCCTAGTGGAGGCTGACTGTTTTTTAGCAAACTGCTGCCTTTTCTTTCAAATGTGGACCAGTTGCATGGGGAACTGTGTTGCTGCATGTATCTTACTCAGGTGTGGTCTTGAATCTGAAATCTTGAATGACACTCAGTTGGAAAAAAAACCCTGAGTTTCTAAAGACCAGACTTTAAAGATGAAAACAGCCTTCTCTGCTCTAAACCTGGTTTAGATATAGCTCCAGCAAAAATAAATAAATAAAGCCTTTGACAAAGTGCTGCTTGGACAGCACTAGCACAGAAGACATTAACTTAACAGTCACTCCTCTCCTACTCCAAGAAGAAGTTAAAATAGAGGCTTTTCTCAATGTGTTTTTACAGAGTCTCCATCCTGATGCTCACACAGGGAGAAGCCAGTCCCTTCAGCACAACTGCTGTACACTAAAAGTAAGGTATTTTGTACAGCCTTTGTTTTGGTCTTTGTTTGTATGAAACACTTAAGCTACAAAATCACGTGGTTTCTTTCTCCCTAAAGCCTATTTTTTTTTTTTTTTTACCTATTAATAGCATGAATTTGAAACTGGAAAGCATCAATGGGTTTTTTAAAAGACATATTTAGAGACAAAAATGTTATGATCTACTAAAAATCCTCCCTCTTGGGTGAAATGTCAGCATATTTTATCTGAAACAGGAAAACTGGAAGCTTTGATGTTTCTGACTCTCCTTTTTTACGATGAAAATTAAGGCATTTGTTAAATACTGTGCTGAGGAATTCAGACAAGAAGACCAAGAAATGGAAAGATTTATAAATGCATTTTTTAAACTGCAGAGAGTCTATTTGCCAAGCTGCTGAGGTTGTGTGTATGTATGCACTCACTGCAGATAAAATAGGCTAACAGGCAGGCATACACCATGGGATGTTGGTTGCACATCTTGCTGTGCAAGAAGCATTTTCTCCCTGGCCAGATAACTGGTGTAGGGGTTGGAAGAATCTTTCACCTGCTTTGAGCATACATTTCCCAAGGAGGCATTTTCATCACAAATACATAGGGAGGGCCTTGGTAGATATGATGGAACCAAGGGTGGGTAGTGAGGTGGTGGCAGAGCTGTGCTGGGTGCTCAGGCACAGCTCTTAGATGTGAAACAGTCTAGTGAGGCAGCCCACATCAAAGCAACCCAGACAGATGCAAACCAGAGACAGATGTAGACTGGAAACAAAAGAGTTTGCTGCCATCTGTCCTCCACAGCTATGAGATTTGGGTTATGCTTCTTATAAAAATATTGCAAAATCTTATCCCAGGAAGATTAGTAAGCATTTCTCAAATGTGCTAAAAGAAGGTTTGCATGAGGATGGAACCCACAAATTCGTACCTGTATGAGTTACCCCTGTTCAACAATATTGTGCATTTGCTTAACAGACTGTGATTAAAATAGCCACAAGCTAGTATTTTAGCATTGCTTTTCCTTCATTGTCTGCTATGAGCTTTAACTCTCCTCTGCATTTCAAAGCTTCTTTATGCACCATGTGTTGTATGATTAGATATCATCCAAATGATAAAGAGGCTCCACTCTGAGAGTGGCCACATACACTACTGTAAAAATACAAGTATTTGTACTGCTCACTGCCATACTGGAATATGTGAATATTGTAAATACAGCAAATATGCTGTACTTTCAGAAGGAATTCCTTCACTGACAGAGCAAGAGCTATGCTGTCTATTGTCTAGTATAAGTATTCCTTCACTTACTGCAAGAGAAAAATTTCTTCAGGGCTAAATCCTTCAGCAGAAATTAGATCATGTCATTAAAAACGGTTTCTCTTACTGAAGTGGAAAGGGCACTGGGCATGAGATCCTCTAGGCTGCCACTGCTCTCAGGTGATTTCATTTGTCTGCACAGAACTGAGCATTGAGATTGTAGAAATACCTTGCAGCTTCATTTGTTTAGTTTGTTCAAGCATAGGAAAACCAACTGACTTCCGCACCATGCAAAAAACAAACAAAACAGGTCACAGTTATGTGAACAGACAATAGTGAGGCCATAAATAAGTGAACAGCTGTTGGACAGGACAGAAAGAAATTGTGCCAAATGTCCGAATTGCAGCAGACATAGTGATGGCCATAAAAGTGATGCACTACAATCTTACATGCTATTTATTCCAGTTACATGCTTTAGGACAGTGAAGCCCGAGGGCTTTAATTTGTTTACATTTAGTGCTAGCAAGGAAATAAGGCACAGCTTCTTCAAATGCACGCAGTAGAATTAATGTTGAATATGCAAAGAAAACCTTTACTGTTAGTGCTGCATTTTGCTTTAATGCTGCATCAAAAGTTTAAGTATCAGAGGACATTTTATTGCAGCAAGTAAACCCCTTAGCATCCTTTTAATAAATCATTATGCCTATTCCCTGCCACCACTGCACTCCCTGCTTTGTGAAAGTTGATTAGTTCTAACCATCAGTCTTGCCGATTTTGAAACAATTTCCATAAACTTTATTCATAAAAATAATACATTTGCAGTTCCACATACAGTGTGACAGTGTCTTCACCTGAGACCCAGACACATCTGCCAGACTTGTCATGACTTATGACAAGAGAAAAGTCCCTGTTCATGCTGTGAAGATACCTTTTGAGGTAGGCCCTTAAAAAATCTTTGTTCGGTTTTTGTATTTCCATATGTTTAGAAGGCAATCAATAATATCTCTCCTTGAAAGTAGTGCTTGCTGAAGTGGAGCACTCCTCTCCTGACTTCAAGGAAGATGATAATACTGAGAAGAAACAAAGGTTAAAAGTTGACCCAAGACAGCCTCCTTCAGTAAAACGTGCCTGCTCTTGTGAAACATTTCTGGATGTGGACTGTGCCAGGTAATTATGGTCTTCTGTGCCCTAGAAGAGAAGGGCCCTGTGCCCTGATCTAGAAAACAGCCACTAATGATCCCTGGTGTAATTCCACTGAAATTGAAGTCACTTTTACTGAAATCTTATCCAAACTGAAGTTTTGCCTAAAGCCTTTGCATTTGAGG